TCTGGAGCATGCCCTCTCTGTGTGATCAGGTGGGACAGGTTGAAATTGTGGGGGAGAGGCGGTCCCTCAGGTAATCATCTCAGCATTAGGATTTGCCAGTGTTCCAGGTCTGTGGAGGGGCCATTTGTTTATAGCATGGGTGGGAAAGCTATGACCTTCATGTACTTGCTGAACGACAGTTCCCAACATCTTTAACTTTTGGCTACCCTGGCTGTAACTGTTGGAAGATATAGTTTAGCAGTGAGAGAGAGTTGTCTAAGTTATTCTACCCAGGAGCACCCCCAAATCTAGAATCGAGGTGGTTCTGCTGCTTCAGGAAAGAAAGCTATGGAAATTAAGAATACCCCTTCCAAATCATTATGTACGGGTATGCTGTTATATGACTTTTTGCACTCTTATTGTGCTGAAATTCTTGTTCCCTAAAGAATGCCATATGCAGATTGCAGAAGTTCACAGAAAATGTGTGGTGGGCAGAGCTGCAAGTTCATTATGTTGCTAGTGTTATTTACATGTGCTCTGAGTGACCAGGAGTTGCACAATTTCTTTGGACAGAGCAATTTGTGTTTTAAAGGATTGAGAAGATATTTCTCAAAATGTTAAAATGTACAAACCTCCACTTGCAATTTAATCAGTAAATTCTCAAGGGTCTAGAAAAGCTTTTGGTAAATACCAGGTCTGTTTGTAATATGACCAACTTCATCCACAATTAAGTGATGGACAAGAAAATAGACCTAACATAGTAAAACTGGTTGGGCAAGGGAAGGTATCCTGCCCAGTCACAAATATGCCCTCCCAGGTCCTTCCCCAGCTGTAATTCTCTGGGAAACCTTTTTTAAAATGATTTTTATTAAGGATTTTAACAATAATAAAAGATAATATAAACAGAAATCAGAAAGAGAAAAGAAGAGAAAAAAGAAGTATCAAGTGCAAAGAAAAAAGGAAAAGAAACAGAGGGAAAAAAAGGAAAAAGAAAAAAAGATTTAAATAATGACTTCTAATCTTCATCACAAGTACAAACTTAATATTTCTCTACCCCCTAAAAGGTTACATACATGGATCACTTCTTCCCATAACCCATCCCTTATCCATTCGCAAATCCATAAATCATTAACATTTCTATCCAGATATCAGCAAAAAGTCTGTAAAGGGTTCCCAGAATTTTATAAAGATATGCCTTATTTTAACCCTGATCTAACAAACCAAATTTGTATTCCTTCCTTTTGCTTCTAACAATCTTAGTCCTTCATTCAGATGCTGTTGTAGGATTTGATCCCTTTTCAATTTTTCTTTCTCCCATCTCAAAGGTTTCTTCACAGAACCATTCCATAGTAATATCTTTTATTGTACTTTTGAGCAATCCAGAAAGATCCACTTTAACTATCTTCTGGTGCACAATACAATATGCTGAATTCACCAGCTTGTTAAGGCTGCTTTTAGATTATTTGAAAAGAACCTCAAAAGGCTAAACTATTATTAACTTTGCTGTCAATAGAAAAACAAGAGTTCTACTTCCCCAAAGTGACAGCAGAAGTTCCTCAAACTAGTAAGAAACAAAGTTTTGCCCATGTGTCTTTTTGCAAGTTGTCAAGTGATACTGTAAAAGAAAAATGGGGACCCACTTCCACCCCCCCCAAAGGTAAAATTGCATAAAAAGAGAAAATGGTCAGAGGCTGGGGAGAAAAAAAATCAGGAGGGGTACAGGAGTTGGGAAGGAAAGCCCATTAAGGCTAGAAGGAGAAAGGGAAAGGCCGAGTTCCAACATCTCAGAAAGCCATGTGGCATGAAAGTGATAGTGGTGTGTAAATCACTGTTTGTGGCTTAGCATGTTGGGCAAACCCAGCCAAATTGTGATTTAGTCAATAACCAGAATTAACCAAGCCACAGCTTAAGCTGATACTGTAAATCCATTCAAATCAAGGGTGGACAGCTAAGCATAGCTCTGGCAAAGCTGCTGAAGGCAACCTGGGTACTCCTCCACATTGAAATCTGATTTATCCTTGGTAGATCAATATTATGGAAAAGCAGCAACGTCCTTAGTTGTGCTATTAAGACACACTGAATCATAAGGGTCGGATTGCACAAA